TCTTCTTCTTCTTCTTCCTCTTCTTCTTCCTCTTCTTCTTCTTCTTCTTCTTCCTCTTCTTCTGCGTGGACTCAAACTGGCAGCAGCGTTGTGGGTTTTATGGGGGGGGGGGGGGGGCAGGGTTACTGTACTGGCCAACCTGGCTACGTCTTTGTTGATTCAGCAAAGTTTTGATGAAGGTCTCTGTTTGTTGGTTGGCAGTTTTTTTAAGGCTCCTCCCCCCAGACGACTGTTGGAGATGAAGGTAATCAACGCTGCGGTGCTGAGCGTCCTGTTCTGCTCTGGTAAGAACCAACATAATCAGTCACTGGGGAGAAGCCGGCACTAATGAACGGTCAGGACCGACTTTGTGGGAATCAAACACACACACACACACACACACACTGAACCACAGAAACAAACAAACAAACAGAAAGGAAGTCGATTCTTCTCAAAGACAAACTTCATTTCCTGTTGTTGTTGTTTTCATTTCACTGACTGTGTTTGTCTTTCCTTCACAGCCGTCTCTGCCTCCGTCAAAGGTAAAAGTCCCAGACTAGATTAAACCCAGACCAGATTAAACCCAGACCAGATTAACTCCAGACCAGATTAACCCCAGACCAGATTAACTCCAGACCAGATTGAACCCCAGACCAGATTAACTCCAGACCAGATTAACTCCAGACCAGATTAACTCCAGACCAGATTAACTCCAGACCAGATTAACTCCAGACCAGATTAACTCCAGACCAGATTAACTCCAGACCAGATTAACTCCAGACCAGATTAACTCCAGACCAGATTAACTCCAGACCAGATTAACTCCAGACCAGATTAAACCTCAGACCAGATTAACCCCAGACCAGATTAACCCCAGACCAGATTAACCTCAGACCAGATTAACCCCAGACCAGATTAACCCCAGACCAGATTAACCTCAGACCAGATTAACTCCAGACCAGATTAACTCCAGACTCGTTGTTCCGACAGCCAAAGAAGAACGCAGGAAGGCCTTCTTCGGTGAAGACATCCACATGGACGTGCCGCCTGGACACCTGGCTGAAGTGGTGTTCAAGCCCAAGTCCAACAACACGGGGGAGGCGGTCCTGATGAAGGCCGGCGTGGTGACGAGTCCACGCTGTTACCTCAACAGCCTGGGTCACCTGGTGCTGGACGACGCCCAGAAGGAGGACGAGGGCACCTACATCATCAAGAACCTCAACAACCCCGCCGCGGTGAAGAAGCTCATCCTCGTCGTCAAAGGTGACGAGGTCGACGGGTCGGAGTCGGTTCCTCTGGGAGAACGTCGTCCTCTGACGGGTTTGTTTTTCTCCTCCTCAGACTGCGCTTTGGAGCAGGTGGTGAAGTACGGAGAGACCTACTACATCCACCTCAACCAGGTCCAAGGCCCCATCACCCTGGAGTTCAGGTGGAGGCACACGCTACAGTCACAGCACACCTGTCCAACCTCAGGCTCGTGGGCCAAATCTGGCCCGCCGTGTAATTAGATTTGGCCCATGTGTACGTAGTCTCAAACCTTCGTGACCCGAGTCAACAGACATTATTATGTAAACTCCTGGGAAACGTGATGTGAGACGACCCGAAAACAAAAACTCTTTCGACCCACCTGAGGGTCGCGACCCAGTCTTTGGGAAACAATGCATTACAGCACATGGATTTGTTTTGAATAATTATTATAAGTCGTTGAGAATTTGAACCCATCCTCCCTAAACCAGTGGATTCTGTTCTTCAGGCCCACGCTGGTCCAGGTCAATCAAACCGAAGTCCACCACGTGAGCGAGGCTCCGTCCGTGGTCCTGTTCAACCAGACGGCCGTGACCGCCGAGGACTACGTGGGACGTCTGAGCGTGTCGGAGAAACGGGTGACGCTGCACGGGGTGAGGATGACGGACGTGGGCAGCTTCACGGTGCTGGACCGAGACGGGAAGGTCCGGAGGAGGAACTGCCTGAACGTCAGAGGTCAGTCCGCTGCAGTTCTCGGCCCGGCCTCCGGGCTGAGTCCGTGTCTCATCTCCAACTGTGGTCCCACGCAGAACACCAGACCTTCCTGCATCTCCCCTACGGCGGGAACCTGGAGATAGAACTGTACCTGCACCACACCAACGTCAGCATCGTCTACAGGCCCAAGTCGGACAACGTGGACCGGGTGGTCGTGGACCAGGGCGTCCTGGTGACGCCCATGGACCCTCAGCTGGAGGGCCGGCTGACGGTGGACGGATCAGACCTTTTCATGAAGAAGGTCCTGGAGGCTGACACCGGGGTCTTCAAGGTCACGGACCTGACCGGCTTCACCGTGGCCCACGTCTACATCGAGGTGGAACGTAAGAGAAAAGTCTCCGCAACACGCGTTTGTAGTCTGTAGACTGTCCTGGTACTGGTGAGGAGCAGGTACTACACCCAGAAACTCTGCGATGTTTTAAAGAATTCATTGCTGTGAAAACATAAATATAAACATTCATCTGGGCCAAAAGGAAATATTTGGAGGACTGGATTTGGGCCACGAGCCACCAGTTTGGTTCAGCTCAGAACCTGTGTTTCTAACAGTTCTCTCCATGTCCAGGATATAAAGAACATCGCAACAATAACAATGTTAATAATTATTAGTAGGGTGTAGGACGGTTCAAAACTGATGGCTCGTGGCCCAGATGTGGTCCTCTGACTGTAGTTTCTGGGTGCGGTACCTGCCTGTGGACAGTAGGTGGAGGAACAGTTAGAGACAGATTCTTTTATCATTCCTCTGACCACAGTCGTCACATCAACACACAGACTGACAGACAGACTGACCCGTTGTTGTCCTGGCCTCAGCCTACAGACTGCCCCGTCTCACCGTGGCCGTCCTCGCCATGCTGGCTCTCATCGCCTTCATGCTGCTGGTCTGCCTGCTGTCCTGTCTCTACAAGGTCCACAAGAGGAACGAGAAGAACAAGAAGCTGCTGCTGCTCGCTCAGCAGACGGACAAAGGAGAAGGCCAGGCCTTCAGACAGGTGATGCCCCCTGGGGGCGGGGTGGGGGCGTGCGGGCATATGTGTGTGTGTGTGTGTGAGTGAGTTGCTGCTAAACAGTCAGATGGTGGACCTCCTCCCCACGGCGTTGGCTCTGCTCAGACTGTGCGACACATGGAAACGTGACTTATTTATTTATTTATAATATGACATCATGATTCTAATTATAGAATATCTGTAAGAATCGCCGTCGATCGACGTCGTTGGTACTGTTTCAAACCTGAAGCAGTTCCTTCGATCGTCGTGTCTCCGTCTCAGGAGAATCCGCTGCTCCAGGTGACAGGAAGTCGATGGATTAGTGGAGATGAAGTGAACCTGGCTCCAGGTCCTGGAACTGTCCGTCCCCTGATCCTCAAGGACATTGGACTGATTGACACTCAAGCAGGAGGAGCAGGAGGAGCAGCAGGAGGAGGAGCAGGAGGAGGAGGAGCAGGAGGAGGAAGAGGGGGAGGAGGAGGAGGAGGAGGAGGAGCAGGAGGAGGAGGAGCAGGAGGAGCAGGAGGAGCAGCAGGAGGAGGAGCAGGAGGAGGAGCAGGAGGAGGAGGAGCAGGAGGAGGAGCAGGAGGAGGAGTGGAGGAGCTCTCCTCCTGCTCCTCCTGCTCCTCCTGCTCCTCCTCCTCCTGCTCCTCCTCCTCCTCCTGCAGTTCTTCCGTCACACCTGTCTTGTTTTAACCTGTTCGTTGGACACGTGTCGATGTATTTTTAATGAACAGGAAACTCAGCTGCAGTGAAAGCCTCACGCTGTGTGTGTGTGTGTGTGTGTGTTTGTGTGTGTGTGTGTGTGTGTGTGCGCTCCTGCAGGTGGTCCACGAGGCCTACACCAGGTTCACGGAGGAGTCCCTGCTGCAGTCGTCCTGTGATAAGCCTTCAGAGAGCATAGAGGTCACCATCAAGGTCAGTGGTTGAGGAGAACCTTCTGGAACTCTCCCTGTACAGGATGAGTCAGTAACCAGCGACGGTGTCGGTCGGTACCGTCACCACGGCTGTGACTGTGGTCCTGAAACATCAGCCTGAATTATTCATGCTGCTTCTGCTCTGACCTCCTTTTTCCTCCTTCGTCTCCTTCGTCTGTGATGGCGTGGAGTAGGCGTGGCCTTTAGTTACAGACATGATGGTTTGGAATCACTGACCTAGGAGACGTTCAGGTGCTGGAACAGAACGTGGGAAGAACTTGTTCCTGTAAAGAAAGGAACTCTTTCCACTTCCTGTTTTCTCTCTTCAGTTGTTGTTGTGTTACATCCCGATTATATGGGTCACAGCCCACAGGTGTGGGCCACAGGTGTGGGCCACAGGTGTGGGCCACAGGCTGCATGTGTTTAATGACTGACTTCTCTGTTCATATTTTTTCCCAGGGTCTTGAAGTGGCCAAACCGGGTCGGTACCAGGCTCTGACCTCGGACAACTTCCTGGAGATGAGCGACTCTGGCGTGGAGTTCACCGCCTCCGGCGCCCCGCTGGACAGCGACACCGATGCCGCGGTGACCTACCCTTCGCACAAACCCCTGATGAACGCCATCTCCCCGACGGCCGTGAACGACGAGGTCCAGTCTGAGAGCCTGGAGACCACCGCCGTCCCCGACGTCAACCTGACCAGCCGGACCCCGGACTCCGTCCTGAGTTCCAGCCCTGCCTCCAATCCTCGCTCCCTGGCAGCGGCGACGCCCGACGGCAGCCTGTGTGGTACGGCGTCACCCGGAACGGCCTCTAGGGGCACCATCGGCTCAGATTCAGTCAAGACAGAGGGAGGGGAGAGTGGAGACCCCGCCCTGAAGGAGGAGTCAGCTCCGAGCACCTGAGCCTCGACGCTCCAGGAAAGTTTTGTTTCTGCTCACGTCTCATCCTCGTCCTCATCCACACATCGAGCTGCACCCCCCCACCCCCTGACCCCCTGCCCCCTGACCCCCCGCTCCCCCCCC